ATGCAAATGTAAAATGATAAAACCACATTGGGAAATAATTTGGCAGTTTCTTAAAAAGCTGAAAGTATACTCACATATTAATCAGTCTCTTTATTGCTATGTTTACTCAAGAGTTATAAAAACATATGCCCATACAAAGACTAGAAATCCTATGTTCACAAGGGCATTAGTCAAACAAATAAACACTGAATAAATCTATATATCCATCAACTGATCAATGAATAAGCAAAATATATGCATAAAATGCTATTCTACTTAACAATTAAAATGAACAAACTATTTTCTTTTTTCTTCTTCTTTTTTTTTTTTGGAGAGGTTTTAGCTTTAGGGTGCGTGTGCTCACCAGACAGAGAGAGAGAGAGAGACAGAAAGCGAGAAATCACCCCCCAGGGGGGATGGCCACGCCACAATACCTTCTCCTCCATTCTCCTCTCGGGATCTTGGGCACGCACGCACACGTGCCCAGCGTGAGTTTTAAGCCACTGGGTCCGGGACACGAACCGAGGTCGACTACGTAGGAATCCAGCGACATAGCCATTATGCTAACTGCTGGTCCCAAAATGAACTACTAAGACATGAAACAATATGGATTAACCTCAAACTACTAAAACATGCAACGATATGGATGAATCTTAAAAGCATTTTGCTAAAACAAAGAATTTACTTACAGAAACCTAAATATTGTAAGAAAAACTAAATAGGATATAATTTCACTTCTATAAAATTTCTGGGAAAGGCAGTTAGTTATTCCATTAAAAACCATATAACTAGTTGTTCAGGACTAGAATGGCAGTGGGGAGTTGACTAAAAATATACAGAAGGACATTTTTTTTGGAGAGATTTTTGTTATAGAGGATTAGGTGCTTGCCAGAGAGAGAGACAAGAGACAGAGAGACAGAAAGGAAGAAATCATCCCCTGAGGGGATGGCCATGCCATAATCTCTTCTCCTCCATTCTCCTTTCAGGATTTTGGACATGCATGCACAGATGCCCTGTGTGAGTTTCAGGCTCCTGGGTCTAGGACTCGAACAGTGGTCAACCATGTAGGAGTCCAGTGCCTTAATTAATATGCATGTGCTAGCCCCCACAAGATAATTTTTTTTAACGATAGAAGTATACCATAACTGGATTATAGCTATGTTTGTACAACTATAAATTTACTAAAATTCATCAAACTGTTCACTTAAGATGGCTAAAGTTATGTAAATGATACTTCATTAAACTGAAAGAAGAGTTGTAAAAGGCTCTCTAATAAGTAGATATAAAAATGTGAATAGAAACATAATATTTAGATTAGTGTCAAGAAACAAACATGAGTGAGCTATGAGTGGCTAATTACCTACTTTTTTTTTTTATTTAAGTTCATACACAGAGGTTTAGAACAAACTAGGATACCAACCACTGGAAAAGCATACAAAAATGGATTTAATTCCTGTTTTGCACCTCTCTTATCAAAGAAAATAACTAGTATTTTGAAAGCATGAAACAAATATTGCTAGGATAGAAATGAATCACCCAAAGGGAAGCATAATGTAAAAGGTCTAACTAATTTGTTTGAATTTAATCCTCTAGCACTTCGAAAAATATATCCTAGAATTCTTATTCTGACTCCTTGCAAAACGGAGGGAGAGAGAGAACGAGGGAGAGAATGAGAGAGGAATTACAGGTGAGACTGTTAACTATTATCAGTGACTTTAAGGAAAGTAGAAAATATATTAATAGCTATAATCTCACAGTTCCCAAACCATGTAGAGAGGCACCAGGAGGCATTTCCTTTTCCAAGGAAAACACATTCTTGACATCTGTTGGGTACAAAGACAAATGTGAGCTTGAAGTAGTTCACAGCTTCAACAACAGATAGAACTATATTCTTTTTCATCGCACCCTATCTCTGTGAAGCTGTTTCTGCTTGTTAGGATGAAAAGCAAGTACCAGGCCAGCAGATGATATAGCAGTTACGTCGCTGGACTCCCACATGGCCGACCGCAGTTCAAGTCCCAGACCTGGTGGCTTGAAAATCACACTGGGTGCTTGTGCATGTGTGCCCAGTATCCAGCAGGAAAACAGAGAAGAAGGGACTGAAAAATGGCCATACCTCTGGGAGGTGATTTCTCACTTTCCTTTTCACAGTTTCTCTCTCTCTCGCTCTCTCTCTCTCTAGCAAGCACATATGCCCTAAGGCAAAAACCTCTAAAATAAATAAATAAACAAAAAAGCAAGTACCATGTGAAAAATCAAGGAAGAGTAGATCCCTTCACTCCAATCCTATAGTTAGAATCTTCCTGATCCCTTCTGTTAATGTCCATCATTCTTGCCATCTGTTTGGGCCTCTTTAAAGCAGGATTCTAGCTAGTTTTACGAATGAATTGTTTTTGCTAATATTGAGCTTCTTACTTTACACAGCATTTTATAGATTTTATTAAAAACAAACCAAAAGGACCAGCAGTTAGTGTAATGACTATGTCGCTGGACTCCCATGTAGTCGACCACAGTTCAAGTCCCGGACCTGGTGGCTTAAACTCATGCCGGCATGTGTGCATGCATGCCCAGGATCCTAAGAGGAGAATGGAGAAGAAGGGATTGCGGCATGACCATCCTCCCTGGCGGGGTGGAGTGGGTGATTTCTAGCTTTCTGTTTCTCTGTTTCTCTCTGACTTTCTGGCAAGTGCATGCGCCCTATAGAAAAAACCTCTCCAAAAAAAAAAAAAAAAAAAAAACCCAAAAACAACAAAACCCACCACAAGCCATTGAAGGAATATATTTAATAATAAGGACCACAATTATAAAGGGACAGGAAATCAAAAGGAAAATATTCGGGGAAGAATAATTAGAAATGTGACAGTTTTATTTTTTTAATTATGAAAAATCAGAATTATTTGGAAAGATTGAGAACATTTAACTAAAGGAAGAAAACCTTAATATAAAAGTAAATGTCGACCCAGCCACTGAGATTTAGCAGTAATGCAGAGCCAGGCAAGGCTGAAGGTCTGACCGTGGCTGACAGATTCAAATCCTCAGGTCAGCTTGAAAACCTGCCTGGTGCATCGATGGGCACCCAGGATCTTGAGGAGCTGAAAGACTAGGACAAGGAGGTCATGATGTGATATTTTCAAGAGTGCTTCTCACTCTCCCTTTCTCTCTCTCCTTTGAATGTGTACATATACATTACCATTAAAAAAAGAAAAGAGTAAATATCTACCACAAGAAATGTAGACTAGTTTCTAGTGACCAAGCATTCCAGTTTTGCCTGAAGCATAATTCCTAGACCATGTCACAGATATAAGGATTGGCAGCAAAAGTTGAAGCAGATGCCAATATTTTCACACAAAATTAGTGGCAGGACCAATCAGAAATCACTAGGATTAGTTATGGTGTATGGAAATCTGTTATAATTTTATTATATATGATGATCTACAACTCACATTCAAGAGGAAAATACTGAATTTTTTCATTGGATGTAAATCAATCAATTACATAGCTAATTAATGAATAACAAATATTGATTAAATAGCCAACAAAACGCAGGTTTGTGTTGGATATTTATACATAAAAGCAATTATGATAGTTTTTTTCCCGAAAGACACATAAATACCTTAAAAGTTTACTTATATTAAAATCCAGAGGGACTGATGAAATTCAAGATACGGACAAGAAACTACAGTCACAGAATCTGAATATGCCATCTTAGTCACTAGTTATACTCTGCCTTTTATAACCTGAAAGTGTACTGCAGTTGCTATGGGGCCCAATATCCCAGCACTGCTCTCTTACTCCCTTAAATGCAGATAAGAGAGACCCAAGCATATTAGTTGTGATCATCTGTCTTGACTTATGGTGTTTTCTAGCATTGTGACTCATGATAGTCTAAGGACGCCCCCAAGATACTATGTATAGTACAATATGTTGTAGAGGGTTGCTTGCCACATGTTTGCAGCAGAGTATTTTTAGAAATTCTGCAAAAGATGAGGATATATGATCTCCATATTACCATAAAGAAACCATCAATATGTTAAAAAATTAAAGAAATACAGGTGATCTCGAGAGGTTGACTCAGGGTACTAGAGAATTGTGTTATGAAGTCATAAAACAATAAAATCTAATAAGAAATTAAAACTGTAAATGTGAGAACTGTTTAAACAATGACTGTAACAGAGTAGAAAGAGAGGGATATCAATTATAGGAATATATAATGTGCTATGATAAATAAAGACAACAATAACCGTAACAATATCAATAAACAATAGTAGAACAGTGCCCATAAAATCTGGGAGATAGAATAATATAAAACTCATAATAAATAAGAATAAATCTTCCATTTGCTCTAGAAGATTAACTGGAATTAGCTGTGTATGGTAGGATACCCATCCATTGTGGTTTAACCAGTGCTGTACTGATTTTAGCTCTCAAAATCCAATTTTGGGAAAATCTTTATTCAGAGAAAAATAAAACAGGACTTTGGTCACCTTACAGGTGATTTCATTTCAACCAAACATTATCAAATTCCCACTGCAAACAGAATCATATCATCACTTCCAATTACCTAATCAAGAAAATGCACACGCATTTCCTTTAGTTTTTTTTTTTTTTTTTCCATTTCACATCTATAGTCTCTACACCTTTCTCATGGGTAGTGGAAAAAGAAAATAAGATGCCGGGACCAGCAGTTAGCGTAATGGCTATGTCGCTGGACTCCCACATAGTCGACGGTGGTTAGAGTCCCAGACCTGGCGGCTTAAACTCATGCCGGGCGCATGTGCGTGCATGCCCAAGATCCCGAGAGGAGAATGGAGGAGAAGGGATTGTGGCGTGACCATCCTCCCTGGGGGGTGATTTCTCACTTTCTGTCTCTCTGTCTCTTTCTGTCTTTCTGGTGAGCACATGCACCCTATAGCAAAAAACTCTCCAAAAAAAGAAAGAAAGAAAGAAATAATAAGAAAACGAGATGCCTTTCCCTGTGTAGTGGTGCTTCACAGAGCAGTGCTGGGCCAGAGTTCACTTACTTTTGCTGCAACCCCACAGATTGTTGACATCCAAATGGCTTGCACTGGGAACACAAGCATCACACTTTGAGCCAGTGACAAATTGTTTACAGAAACATTGGCCTGTGACCGAGTGACAGGTTTCATTCAAGGCTCCTGAGAGATGACAATTACAAGGCTGACATCTGAAAACAAGATAAATAAACCATCAAAGAGAATAGCATTTTGATTAATAATTCATAATATAAGTTACACCTATCCATAACATTGCACAATAAGATGGTCTATTTCAGCCAACATATTGACAAGGATGCTTAAGCTAAACAGAGAAACAAACACGAAATAAAACAAAACAGAAAAGATCTTTATCAAACTGCTGCTTGTTTTAAAACCTGAATTAAGCAAAATGTTTTGCAAATACTTAATAGTAAAAAATGGTATCATATTACTGTTTTACATACTGTGATACATCTTATGAATTAGGTTGAATAAAGTTATCCAATTAAGAATTCTGTGGGCCAGTAGGTGGCTGGTGGTTAAATGCTGGAAGCCCACATGGTTCACCGTGGTTTGAGTCCCAAACCCAGTAGCCTGAAACACACACAAACATGTGCGTGATGCCCAGAATCCTGAGAGGGGAATGGAAGAGAAGAGATAGCAGCATGGCCTTTCCCCCCAGGGAATGATTTCTCACTTTCCTTTTCTCTGTCTCTCTGTCATTTTCCAATAAAGCACATGCACCCACCCTAAGGCAAAAACCTAAAAATAAATAAATAGGTGAGGAAAAAAAAGATTTGTATGAATTTTGCTTTCCCCCAAAAGCATTTCTCCAGTCATCTAAAAATTTAAATTAAGTATCCATAAAATTACTTTTTCAAGTAACTAGCTGTGAAATACAAAACTGAGAGTGAATCATAGCTCTTCTCCCAAATCTTAAAATTCTATATTTAGTCTTAAAAGGATTAAATTTCATGAAGAAACACACATGAGGAAGACAGGTTCTAATACTATTGTTGCTTTGATATGGGTTATACGAGGGTTTTTTTAAAAGCTCACGAAAACAACAATTATAAAAAATTGTGCATGAACTCCAAAATATTTTGTACCAAAATAAACTTGTATTTTAATTCCATTTTTTCATAAACTATTTGAAGTATCCTTATATTTCTTTTTCTATTTTATGCACTATACTCATTTATCCAGAACGACTGAAAAATAGAACATTATTCTGATCTACAAAAATAAGTTAATGTGGCCCACCCTGATGGCAGGTTTGGTAGTAAATTGAATTGCAGTGTTGGAGCCAGTCACACAGGCAAATGTGGGTTTGGATTTCCTGGTCGGCTTGAATAAACAGGGACCATCAGATGGCATAATGGTTATATCGCTGGACTCCCATGTAGTCAAATGTGATTTGAGTCCTGGACCTGGTGGCTTAAATTTCACACCACGTGTGTGTGTGTATGTGTGTGTGTGTGCCCAAAATTCTGAGAGAAGAGTGGAGGAGAAGGGATTGCGGCATGGCCATCACCCCCCCCCGGGACGGGGGGTGGGATGGGGGTTTCTCGCTTTGTCTCTGTCTCTCCTGTGAGTACAGGCATCCTGTAGCAAAAATCTCTCTAAGCAAAAGAAAAAACATTGGGCGCAGGCATGCCCTAAGATCCTAACAAGCTGGAGAACCAGAGAAAGGCAACATGGCATGACAAGCCTTGTCAAGGATATTTCTGTCTCTCACACATACTCACACTCTATCATGAACAAAACAAAGAAACTCTTCTAAAAACATATTAATGATAAGAATATAGTAAGATCAACTTCACTGCAACTTAAAGTTCTTTGACCCAAAGTTTCCTTTAGAAATAACAGTACTGTCATTTTGTCATGATCCAAACTGAAACCTGTTTCCTCCAAGTGAATTATTAAAACGCTTAGCCTGTGCTAAGCTGCACTGATCAGGATAAGCAATTTTGGTGCCGAGAAGTATTAGAGAAGTAAAAATAGCGTGTGTAAGAAGGCCACCCGCTCTAAACAGGGACTCTCCATTTGGTACCTTTTAAACAGCACTAAATGGATTCACCTATACATTCTAATAAAGATGCTGGGTGGACAGACTTTCTCCCACTGCAATTTTTATGGTGTGATCTCCTGGGTAATCATTCAACACCCTTAAAAAGGCCGATAAAAGCTAAGGCTGCCAAATAAGCTGCAAATTTGTTTTATGGACTAATATCCCCTTGGGAATAAATAAAGTACAGTTTCTCTTGGAAACTGCTATACTGTAGTTTGCCCTTCTTATGGTCATGAGAAAAGGACACTTTTTACCTACACACAAC